GGCACATGGTCCGGGGGACGCCGCGGGGACGGTTTTACTCCTGAGAAACCCACCGAGGCGACAGGGAGGAGGAGGAGGAGGAGGATGGAGGGGGAGGATGAAGAGAAACAGAGGGGGGGACACAACGTGGCTGCCCCCAGAGCCCCCCCCCCCTCACCCCGTGATGGTGACATAGGGCAAGAGGGGGACAAAGCCACCGTGGTGCTGAGCCCACCCGGCCCCAAATCTCGGCTGGCGCCAGCACTGAGGTGCCCCAGGCAGGAATTTGCCTTTTTTCGGTTGGTTTTAATGGATAGAAAATAAGGGGGGGGGGGAAAGGGGGGGTGTGGGTGTGTGTGACAGGAACAGGGGGATGGGGACACATCAGGGCCTCTCCCCACAGCTCCAACCCCACCGATGGGACAGGGTGGGGGGGGTTCCACCATTGTTTTCTCTCTTTAAGGAAAAGCAACCCCCCCTTCTCAAGAAGAAGCCCCCCCCCCCCATCATCTCCACGGAAGGGGCTGCATCAAGGAGCCGTCTGCAGCATCAAGTTCCTCAGGAGTTTCTGGCGCCCGACCTCGTAATCCTCCTCGTCCACATTGACCAGCAGTTTGATGGCTTCGTGGCCCACGGCTTGCTTGAGCGAGTCCGTGATGAAGACGCCCTTGAGGGCTTCCAGCAAGGAGCCGTTGATGTAATCGCGCCAGAAGGCGTCGAGGTAGGTGAGCTCTGAGAACTTTATGTCACAGATGATGGAGCCCAGGTCCCGGGACTTGAGGATGGTGTTGGCCTGGTTGAAACGCTCGAACTGGCGCTCCAAAGGGTCCTGCTTGTTGGAGAAGACGTTGCCCTGAAGCGCCGTCTCGTGCTGGCAGTACTCGGCTCGCACTCGCAGGCGGATGTCTGGGGAGAGGGGGGGGACATGGATGGGGAGGGTGGTCATTGCTCTGAGCTCCACAAAGCCACACACTGAACCCCCCAAAGCCCCACACTGAGCTCCCCCCAAAGCCCCACACTGAACCCCCCAAAGCCCCACACTGAACCCCCCAAAGCCCCACACTGAGCTCCCCCCAAAGCCACACGTTGAACCCCCCAAAGCACAACGTTGAACCCCCCAAAGCACAACGTTGAACCCCCCAAAGCACAACGTTGAACCCCCCAAAGCACAACGTTGAACCCCCCAAAGCCCCACATTGAACCCCCAAAGCACCACACTGAGCTCCCCCCAAAGCCCCACATTGAACCCCCCAAAGCACCACATTGAAGCCCCCAAAGCACCACACTGAGCTCCCCCAAAAGCCCCACACTGAGCTCCCCCCAAAGCCCCACACTGAGCCCCCCAAAGCCCCACATTAAGCCTCCCCAAAGCCCCACACTGAGCCCCCTCAAAGCCCCACATTGAGCCTCCCCAAAGCCCCACATTGAGCTCCCCAAAGCCCCACACTGAGCTCCCCCCAAAGCCCCACACTGAGCCCCCCCAAAGCCCCACATTCAGCCCCCTCAAAGCCCCACACAGAGCCCCCCCAAAGCCCCACAGAGCCCCCCCAAAGCCCCACATTGAGCTCCCCCCAAAGCCCCACACTGAGCTCCCCCCAAGGCCCCACACTGAGCCCCCCCAAGGCCCCACACTGAGCCCCCCCAAGGCCCCACACTGAGCCCCCTCAAAGCCCCACACTGAGCCCCCTCAAAGCCCCACACTGAGCCCCCTCAAAGCCCCACACTGAGCCCCCCCAAGGCCCCACACTGAGCTCCCCCAAAGCCCCACACTGAGCCCCCTCAAAGCCCCACACTGAGCTCCCCCCAAAGCCCCACACTGAGCCCCCCCAAGGCCCCACACTGAGCCCCCTCAAAGCCCCACACTGAGCCCCCTCAAAGCCCCACACTGAGCCCCCCCAACGCCCCACACTGAGCCCCCTCAAAGCCCCACACTGAGCCCCCTCAAAGCCCCACACTGAGCCCCCTCAAAGCCCCACACTGAGCCCCCTCAAAGCCCCACACTGAGCCCCCTCAAAGCCCCACACTGAGCCCCCTCAAAGCCCCACACTGAGCCCCCTCAAAGCCCCACACTGAGCCCCCTCAAAGCCCCACACTGAGCACACACACACACACACACGCACACCCCAGCTCCTTACCACAGGTCTGCTTCTCCTTGGGGTCCGGCGTCGCCGACTTCCTCCTCTTGCGCTGGCTGCCCAGGAGGGTCCTGCTGCGCCCGGGCCTCTTGGTACAGATCTGGGGTCCCGCCGCGGAGCAGCAGACCACGGGGTGGTGGGGAGGCACTGCAGGGGTGGGGGGAACGACATGGTCAGGGACACAGAGACACCCCCCAGGCCCCACTGGGGCACCCTCCAGATCCATGTTGGAGCATCCCCTTTATCCCCAGCACCCAGCTCCATCCCTCGATCCTGTGCGAACCCAAAGGGGGAGCTCAAATCACATCCCCCCAAACCAAGCAGCCCCCCAAGCCCTGGGGGACGATCCCGATGGGGTGACCCCGCAGCACCCACCTGATTTCTGGGGGTGGCCGAGGCCGTGCTCGGCGTCGCCGTGCGCGCGCGGCGTCACGTAGCGGATGGACGTCTCCTCCAGGTACTTGTCCACCAGGTCCGGACACACTGGGAAAGAGAAGTGGGAATCCCATGGGAAGCTGCTCAAGGAACATCGTTGGGGGGGAGCAGAGCTGAGCCGGGGAGCGCACGGGGCTGTCCTGTCCTTGGCTCCCTCCCATCCTGCTGGCCAAGGCTGGGTCTCACCCCCCAAGTACCTCCCTCTGTGCCTTCACCCCCGGCCTGCAGCTGGATTCCGGATCAATCTGCTCCTTTCTGGAGCCATGAATGAGAATGAGGCAGGAGGAGACAGACCTGCAGGGTCTGGAAGGACATGGGAACAGGGAATGCTCACTATGGACCCATCAGTCCGTGCTCTGGAGCTGCAAATGGGGCTACAAACCCCATGGGAGACGCCTCTCCTAATAAAGCCAGCGGAAATCCTGCTTTTGGGCATTCGATGAAACCATTTCCACAGCAATGGGGTCTCCTGAGCACCGAGCACTGCTCCTCTGACAGCATGAACACCAAGCTCCGACCACCCTGGTACCACCCTCCCCATCAACCTACCCCAAAACCCCATGGGGAAGCTGCCAGCTCCCACCACAGGGGGCCCAGCAGCCAGGACCCCCCCTCAGGTGGGATTTTGGCCCCAAAAAGCTGCTCAAGAACCCCTCAAAACAGCGTTGAGACACCCCAAAACCCTCCAGGACAAGGGCACAGAGAGGCACAGATGAACCCCGCGGAACCAGCACCAGGCTGTTTTCAGGGCCTGCCTCCACTTGCTGCTTTCCAGGGAATGGTGTGAGCAGGAACCAGGAGTGGGGAACTGCTGGAACGGCCACAAAAGGCCAATTATCCAGAGGTAAAGCAAAGATGCAAATTCCAAGGGTGAATCCTGCCGGAGCAGCTCCCTGCTCCAGGTGATGATCTCTGCACTGTACATTGAGGGGTGATGACCCCAAAAGGGTCTTGGGGGCTCTGAGCCAGGAGAGAAGCAGGGGAAAAGGGGCAGAAGAGGAGGGTTTGGGGCATCCCGATGGAAAACGGGTGAAGAAACCCCTGGATATGGATAGGCCTCTGTGTGTGCTGCCCATCACAGTGCTGACAGCACCCACAGCATCTCCCATGGCAACGGGAGGGTTGGAACCGGATGATCTTAAGGTCCTTTCCAACCCAACCCATCCCAGGACCTCACTCCAGAGGGGATGTGGGGCCAAAAGCATCATTTCCCTACAACCCCGAGCCTAGCAGCAGGCACTGGGAGAAGCGGGAGGCACTCTCTGCTGCTACAGCCCAAAACGACTCCTTACCCCCCAAACCCACCCATGGGTGCTTGCTAAACCCCATCACCCCCACCACCACCCCCACCCCATTTGCCTTTCAATGGGTCCTTCTAAGCTTGCATGGAGGCACCGCGTGGCACTCACCGGCACGCCGGCGCTTGAGGGTGACGTAGGGCAGCAGGTCGTGGCGGGTGATGATGCGCAGGAGCTGCAGGACCTGGCGGAAGTTGGTCTCGTCGCAGCGGCCCTGGCGCTCCAGCGCCAGCAGGAAATCCCTGCCGCTGCGGATCATGCCCCGCTCGTAGTCGTCGATGACGTCCACGAAGAGGAAGGAGAGGACGCGCACGTCACGGTGCGTCAGGTGCGTGCCCACGATGTCGAACATGCGGTGCAGGCTGTAGAGCCCGTGCTCGCGGTCGCCGCGCTCCTCCGGCCACGCCTGCGCCCGGCTCCGCTTGAAGGCGGCCATCGTCGCCCGGCAGCGCCTCGAGCCTGTGAGGCAACGGGGACGGGGTTGAACCCAAGCCTCGTGGACGCTCCCTCTGCGTCCCACAACTGAAGCTCCTGCCTCATGGATGCTCTCTTTGCATCCCACCACTGCAGCTCCTTCCCCATGGACGCTCCCTCGGCATCCCGCCATTGCAGCTCCTTCCCCATGGATGCTCCCTGTGCATCCCACCACTGCAGCTCCTTCCCCATGGATGCTCTCTTTGCATCCCACCATTGCAGCTCCTTCCCCATGGATGCTCTCTTTGCACCCCGCCATTGCAGCTCCTTCCCCATGGATACTCTCTTTGCATCCCACCACTGCAGCTCCATCCCTATGGATGCTCCCTCTACATCCCACCACTTCAGCTCCATCCCTATGGATGCTCCCTGTGCATCCCACCACTGCAGCTCTATCCCCCTGGATGCTCCTTCTGCATCCCACCACTGCAGCTCCATCCCTATGGATGCTCCCTGTGCATCCCACCATTGCAGCTCCTTCCCCATGGATGCTCTTTGCATCCCACCACTGCAGCTCTTTCCCCATGGACGCTCCCTGTGCATCCCACCACTGCAGCTCCATCCCTATGGATGCTCCCTCTACATCCCACCACTTCAGCTCCATCCCTATGGATGCTCCCTGTGCATCCCACCATTGCAGCTCCTTCCCCATGGATGCTCTTTGCATCCCACCACTGCAGCTCCATCCCTATGGATGCTCCCTGTGCATCCCACCACTGCAGCTCTTTCCCCATGGACGCTCCCTCTGCATCCCAAAACTGCAGCTCCTTCCCCATGGACGCTCCCTCTGCATCTCACCACTGCAGCTCCATCCCCATGGACGCTCCCTCTGCATCCCGCCATTGCAGCTCCTTCCCATGGATGCTCCCTCTGCATCCCACCACTGCAGCTCCATCCCTATGGATGCTCCCTGTGCATCCCACCACTGCAGCTCCTTCCCCATGGATGCTCCCTCTGCATCCCACCACTGCAGCTCTATCCCTATGGATGCTCCCTGTGCATCCCACCACTGCAGCTCCTTCCCCATGGATGCTCCCTCTGCATCCCACCACTGCAGCTCCTTCCCCATGGATTCTCCCTCTGCATCCCACCACTGCAGCTCCTTCCCCATGGATGCTCCCTCTGCATCCCACCACTGCAACTCAGTCTCTCTGCCACTGGAGCATCCCACACTGACAGGCTGGGACCATCCTGGCTCTGCCAGCACCAACTCCACCACGTTACCATGAACCAAACCCCCCAGCTCCAGGCTCTGGGGCTCGAGGGCAGGACCTGTGTCCCTGTTGGAGCCCAATGACCCCCACGGGCACTGGATGGCACCGAAACATCAAGGGAGGAGGAAATGGGGTGCCCAGCAGGTCCGGGCCTGTTGGGCTTCAAAGCCGAGCGAGGAGCAGCGGCCTCGTCAGACCGGCTACTCCCGGCTCTGCCACCACCCAGCACCGGCACTCACACCCACCCAGCACCCCGTGCATCCCGGTGACACCGGGCACCTGGGGCCGGCACCACACCGCGCTCTGTGGGAGCAGAGCCAGCTCCAGCCCTGGTCCGGTGCTGGGAGCTCCCTCCCGGCTCAGCCGGCTCCAGAGCCGCTTCCCCCTGGTTACTGTTCCCAAAGCAGAGAGGCGACGGCGGCGTAAACACGGGATACCAGCAGGAATCTCCCAGCTATTCCCGGCACAGCCGGTGACTCACGCGCTGGGAGGCACCGGAGGGCTCCCGAGCGCTTTGGATTCCTCTTGCAAGATGCAAATAGCTCCAGTGGAAGATGCGTGGAGCTGCTCCCAGCGGTCCGGGCACACTGCGAGCGGATCGCTCCGCTCTCCTCAACCTTGGGAATGCTGTGTTCTGAAGAGGCCTTTCCCAGGAGCCACAGCAGCAGCAGCACATGGAATCATGGAACCAACCCGGCTGGAAAAGCCCTTTAAGCTCATCCTGGCCAACCGTTCCCCAGCACTGCCAAGGCCATCACTAACCCATGGCACCGAGGGATTGGGAACGCTTCCAGGGATCCCAGCACTGCCCTGGACAGCCTGTCCCAACACCCAACCTTTTGGGGAAGGAAAAGCACAGGAACTCAGCCAAACAAAACCCTTGCGGTGAGCAGCGTTAACCTGAGAGCACCCATGCCAGCACGGTCCCATCCAGACTGGGTTGGTGCCGTGGTACCGGTGCTGACCGGTGCCTGCCGGGTCACTGCTGCAGCCCTAAGCGTGTTGATACCACAACAGGAGCCTGACCTCTGTCCCCAGAGCCCGGAGCTGCTCTTGGGACCTTTCACCAGGGCAGAGGTTTGGTTTGGTCCCAGCCACGCTGGGTTTTCCCTTCCAGGCACCAGGGGATTCCAACGGGAGGGGAAGATGGGAAGGAAGAGATCCCAGCTTGCCCCCACCTCCGGCTCCCCTCCTGCCTTAACCCCGCAGCACCGATACCCTGAGAAAAGCCTTAAATCCCTTGGATTGCCTGGAGGAGCAGCCAGAGCTGCCCCTGACCGGTGGCAAGGGGGGGGGACAGGAGCCTCAGACACCCGGCACCAACCACCCTCAGCCTCCAGGGTCATTCCTGCACTGGAAGGTGAACAGGAAAAACAAGCTCTGGGTGCCCTGCACTTCACCAAAGCCGGCGCCCTGCTCCTCCTGGTGCCCGTTGGGGGTTTCTAGGGTGTCCATCCCAGAGCCCCCGCTCCTCGCAGCGCATCCCTGCCCGCACAAGTCCCAAACCCCGAGGGGATGGATCCAGAGCCATAGAGAGGCATTCAGGGGTGTGGGTGAGGAGAACCCCCCCATGTGCTGGAAGCACCCCCAGGGCAGGGGCATGGGGGGGATCCTGCCCCACTGCTGCGCTCTGAGGCCCCACATCCTGCATCCGGCTCTGGGGCAGCAGCACCAGAGGGACGCGGAGCTGCTGGAGCGAGGCCACGGAGCTGCTGCGAGGGCTGGAGCAGCTCTGCCATGGAGCCAGGCTGAGAGAGCTGGGCTGGGGCAGCCTGGGGAAGAGAAGGCTCCTGAAGGGGAGACCTGAGAGCAGCTCCAGTGCCTGAAGGGGCTGCAGGAAACCTGGAGAGGGGCTTGGGACAAGGGATGGAGGGACAGGACATGGGATTGGCTTCAGGAGGAGGAAGAGGAAGCACTCGGCCACGCTGCGTCACCACACACAGTGTCTGTAACCACATGAGAACAAGCCCGATGCAGAAGCAGCTCTGCTGGGCACTGCTTTGAGGTAAGATTGAGGAGTTTTGGTGCATGGAGGATGCTGAACTTCACCCCATCGCCTCATCTAACTCCTGCCACCACCAGCCTCCATTTCCAACACCACCAGCACCGAGGAACAGCTCCCCCCCGGGTACCTGGACACCAACATTCCAAAGCCCTGGAGCTGCTCTCCCGAAGCCTCCCCCACACACACAACACTTGGGCCATGGACACAGCTTCACCCATGAGCAAAAGGAGCGCGGGTCGGGATCCACCTGCAGCCAAAGCTTCCCAAGCGTTCCCAGCCAGGACTATTGGAGGTATCAACCCCCCCTGAGGCTCACATATCTATCCTGGAACGGCTCCATCCAGAAGGGATGGGTGACACACGCACAACACACGGAGGAGCACCCACCTCAGAGAGGAGCTCTGATATCCCGGCTTCCCACAGCGGCCGTGCTGGATGGAGGCTTCTATCCCCTTTGCTCCTTGACTTCTTCCACCGGCTGCAGGCTCCTAGTGGCTCTTGCAGCGCCGGAGCCAAACTTCCGGAGCCGGATTCGGGGGTGATTTGCCAGAAGCCACCCAATTATTTGGTTCCCCCCCCCCCCAAAAAAAAACAACAAACTGGGGTGTTTTTTCCTCTCCCTATTCAATAACCGATGGGTTCGGGGAGGACGAGGGAAGTCCCAGCGCTCGCCCTGCGCTCTCTACCTCATGCCTCGTTCCACGACCCCGCTGCTGAGGAGCCGCTTCCCTGCTCCCTTCCTCCCGAGCTGCTCCCTCGGCGCGGCCGCTGCTGCCGAGCGCCTCGGGGTGGGAGGGGGAAGCGAGAACCTCGCCTCGGAGCCGGGTTAGCCCCGCACACCGCGGCCCATACCGGCCCCTCCGCGCTCACCAACAACCGGGGGGGGGGGGGCGGAAAGGGGGAGCCGGGCCTGGGGCCTCCTGCTCGGACGCTCTCTGTTCCGGTACAAGCCAAGTTAAAGCCCCCGGAGCTGAACCCCAAAGCGGGGGCTGCGGGTAGGAGCGATGCTCGCCCCGACCCCTCCCGGTTACCGGCTCCGGCCCCCCGCAGCCGGGGGGGGGAAGGGAACAAGCCCTGCGAAGCCTCCC